GGTGATAGTGGGCATCCTTGTCTTGTTCCTGATTTTAGCGTGAAAGTTTTCAGTTTTTGATCATTTAGTATGATGTTGGCTGTTGGTTTTTCATAGATAGCCTTAATAAGGTTGAGATAAAGATCTCCTATTCCAATTTTCTATAGGGTTTTTATCATGAATGGGTGTTGGATTTTGTCAAATGTCTTTTCTGCATCTATTGAGATGATCATGTGGTTTTTGTCCTTGGCTCTGTTAATATAGTGTATTGCATTTTTTGATTTCTACATTCTATTATTTGTCGAACCAATACGTTAATATTACATTATAATTTTAAAACCTGAAATGTATTCAATCTAAAACTGTATTGGTCAGTTTTTCATTGCTAGGACACTTGAAACTTAAAGGAGGAGAAATTTATTTTGGCTCACGGTTTCATAGGTTTCATTCCATGGTTGTCTGGCTCCAAGGGAGAAAGATGGTGGAAGGGTGTGGCAGAGGGAAGCTGCTCAACTCATGGCAACCAGGAAGCAGAGAACAGGAAGACAGCCTGAGAAGAAAGGGCTAGGGATCAGATATAGACCCCAAGATCATGACCCTATTAGCCATTCCACATACCTAGAAGTGTGTTTTACTACTCTCCTAAGGCCTCTCTCAAGCCAGTGGAGTCAACAATCAAGATTAACCATCATAAAAATTAATGAGTTTACAGAGTAAGATTCAGTGGCATTTAGCACATTTACAGCATTATGCAGTGACCATCACTATTTCTGAAACTTTTTCATCAACTCCAAAAGGAAACACTGTAGAATTCATTTCCAATTACCTACTCACCTCAGCTTCTTCCAGCCACCACTCTGCTTTCTGTCTATATGGATTTACTATTCTAAATTTTTTTCATATATATGGAATCATATGATATGTCAACCTTTGTGTCTAGCTTCCTTCACCTAGAAAAATGTTTTCAAGTTTCATTCACATTGTAGCATAGATCAATGCTTTAGTCCTTTTATAGGTTTTATTATGCTGTGTTTTGGTAAAATAATTTTTCTTTTCTTCTGTCTCTCTGAAACGAGGCTAATTGACTATAATATAATACAGTTTTCTATTGTGCTGTTTCTCCCTTCCAGCCCAAACTTCACTTATTGATAAGGGGAGCAATATTGTCACTTCCTTTCTTTCAAACCTGTCCTTGGTGTTGCTGATCAATCACTGTTGCTCTTGTGGAGTATACTTTGTTAACTTCCCTGCCTGTCATTTGGACATGTACTTGTTTCCAGGCTTTGGTTACTGCAGCATGAAGGAAAGGATTAGATGGACCACTTGATCCAAATGATGCCTGGCTTTTGTGCAGAGTCCATGTTGTAGCAAAGTGGCTCCCTCCTCATCACTGCCATCTTTGGCAATAGTCACACAGATCCAGCCTGAAAGGGGAGCTCTGTGGATACCTGGGTCCACTGGGTCCTAGCAATAATGTCACAATGCAGATCACCAGAGCAATATGTCACAGTGTCATCTTTTGATGTCAAGATGTTCTGTTTGTTAACAAGATGAATCCTTGACTAAAAAGACAAATATCTGAACTGTAGAGGAGACACTACAAAAATAAAAGCACCACACTAATCAGACCCAATAATTTCTCTTTTAAGCTTGGACCTAACTAATGCTGAGGGATCTCTGGCATCCTTCCTTGGAATCAATTTCAGACAATTTCTTCACATTTTACATCAGTTAAAGGAACATTGTCAAGATAAAATCTTGCCCAACATAGATTGTTTTTGTTTTAATTTCCTTATTTGCATAAACCAAGAACATAGACTATTTTGCCAAAAACACTTTTTATAAACCAAATGGATGAGGTATCTTTATTTTGACTGTAGTGACCTTCTACATTGCTCACTGAGAAGTTGTGCTGCTTAGGCCCCTTCTCTGGTTCCTAGATGTCCTTGTGGGGCATGTTTTGTCCACATGCAGGAGCCTGTGTTCTGGTTCCTTAAGTGAAGCCATGTCTGTTTCACCAAGGGGGTGTTATGCCTTGTATCTACATGTCCCCCGAAAGCCTCATACATTCATAAGTGGGGAGTTTCAAAGGTGGCTGGATTAGGGTTGTGAATGTGGATTAAGGGTATGGATAATGGAAGCCCGACTCTGGATGTGGGTGGCACCAAACAGTAGGATTGTAGTCTGGATGGAATATAAAGGGAGAGAGCGGAGGCAGGCTTGCTGCTGCTGCTTGCTACCTTGCTGCCTCCTGCCTCCCTTGTTATGGACTGTTTCTCTTCTGCAGTGCCTCTCTGCCATGCCACCCTACCTTGGGACCAGCCAACTATGGAGTGAAACCTCTATAAACTGTGAGCTGAAATAAACCTTTCTTCCTTTAACTTTGAGTGTTGGGTATTTTGGCTCTGCAATGAGAAAGTTATTTGTGCTCATCTTTCTAGTGCATGGGTATAGGCCAAAGCAGGTAAAAATCAGAGATTAGCCAGAGACCTGGTGGACAGCAGGTTTCAGGCAAATATGATGTTATGCTCCATAGGTCTGAAATTCAGGTGCTACTGTTGATCCAGGCAGCTGAGCTTGAATTCAGGGAACTTGAACAAGGCAGAAAGGATCAAATGGGGACCTGAGGTGAGGTAGGTGCAAGCTAGAGAGCCAACAATAGACGGGGGACACTGCCCATGAGTTTAAGTAAAGCAGAGGTATGCTTTGTTCTGACATCTTGGACCTTCTCTGTTCCCTGTGATGGGCAAGAATCCACCGGTGTGTATTTGCTGCTGGAAGACAAACCAAGTCTCTGAACATACAACTTATCCTTATAAGGATGGACAGTGGGCTAGAGCTTCTCAAAGGTTACACAGTGTGAGTTACTGACATTACTAACAAAAGATTTCATTCTGTTGTAACAAATGGATGCAGAGATTTGCTGCTGTACTCCCCAGGGCTGTCCTTGGTCCTCCCCACCCAGGAAGACCCTCTCTTCTTCATGACAATCATTCTCTTGGCTGCCCAAATTGGATATTGTCTTCCTCAGCATTATGGCATCAGTATGGAGAGACCAAGAGTCATGCAGCAGCCTGTCCATGCCTCCTTCCTCTGAGTCCCTGTTATGGTTTGATCCAGATGTCCCCACCAGAGCCTCATGTGGTCATAGGTAGGTGAATCTAGAGTGTGTGATGCTAGGATTAAGGGTGTGTGATTACTAAACCATGGGAATGATTCGTTAGTCTGAATAAGATAAAAAGCAGCAGAAAGACACTGTTAAAGTCCCTTGTTGCTTTTGCTGTGTTCTGCTGCCATGAACTATTGTCCCTCTGCCACGCTGCCTTGGAACCTGCTGATTACGGACTGAAACCTCTGTGAACTGTAAGCCAAAAAAACCTTTCCTCCTTTAACTCAACTTTGGGTGTTGGGTTATGAGTATTTTGTCTCAGCACAGAGAGAAAAGTAACTAACACAGCCCCCTGCTGTTGAGGTGTTTGCGCTGGCTAAATGGAGACCTCATTCCTCAGCACACAGGTGAGCAGTGTGGTGAGTAAGCAGCTGATCCGTCCAAGCCAGCCCTTCCAGAAGACCATTCTTCCCTGTCTCCTCTGCTGCTTTCCTTGTTCCATATCTTTTGTTTGAACAAGAAAGGATTGAAGAGTGAGTGAATTTTTTTTGTTTCCATCCTCATTTTCTATGGGAATAAAACCTTAGGTCTTTGTCTCTCTACCTCTCCTATCTTCTCTTACCCTAGAGCAAAGGCTCTGAATGTAAAACAGAATCACCATGGAGAATTTTAAAAAATTGATTTCCAGGCTGTACCCCAAATCCAATTACTCATTAGATTTTATTATGTAGTAGGGAAAAATTTGGTACCATTTTGGATGCAGACATTAGTTGGAGTGTCTTTCTTTGATGCGTATTTGTTTTCTAAATTTCCTTAAAGAGTTCTCCAAATTGCTCAGTTTTTCCTGAGATGCTCCAAGAATACTGCTCTTCCAAAAAGCAACAGGACTGCAAGGAGAAAGAAGGCAGCAATGGACGATTTCTATTTAATCTTACAAGGAATATGTGATAATCACATTTGTTATTTCTCCATCCTGGGACAAATACGTTGCTCTGTGTCTGTGTGTGTATCTGTGTGTGTGTGTGTGTGTGTGTGTGTGCGCACGCGCACGCACTTGGCGTGGGATTAAGAACATAACCCCAAGCTCCTATCTGGAGCTCCACCATGCTGGGAGACTAGGAAAGGTGGCATGGGTGCGTGGCAGGTCCTACCCACTGGACTCCTGATAACTGATGATTGCAGGCATATTCTTGGGCACAGGGTGGGAAGATTCCTGTGGTTCCAAACATCCATCTATTGCTGCTTGTGTTTTTCCCTTTTTAGGTCTCACGTGAGTGTTTATACCATTTTGTCCCGCATCGGTGACAGTGTCATGGATGATCACTAAATGAACACCAATCATTCTGTCACCTGTAACCTTCTGGTTCCTGCCCCAGGGGCAGTTGGCACAGCCAGCCAAGAGGCTCACTCACACTCGTTTGTATACAGTACATTTCACAATTGTATTGTTTTTGGAAAAAGATTTTTTAAAAAAATGAGCATCTTGTTTTTTCTTGCTTTACTAACTAAACCTACCAAATGCATCTTTCCTTTAGCTGAAGTCAAGGTGAGGACAGTTGATGTTTCAGAATAATTGACAAGCATAAAAACCTGCTGGAAACAGGCATGTTATTAGGTGACTGTGTTTGTGGGTGTTCAGATGTGAATTAAGCCAATCCATTACACTTGTTTGATGTTCACTGGGGCTGCAAGATTTTTTATGCAAAACCCATGAAAGCAGACACAGTTCAGTGGTGTTTATTAGTGACCTTGTCTTGTCCTCTGCATTATGGACAAGCGTCTCACAACATCAGGAGTGATGCACACAATCAGGCTGTGTTTTCTTCATATTCCAAATTCCTGACATGCTGCTGCCATCTTGGGCTTGGAGTTTGAAGTAGAGGATGTGAGTGCAGCTTTTCAAATCAGAAATATTTATAGAACTAGGTCTGATTGAACAGTCGCTATAGCCCTTGTGCTGGAAATGAGAGAGAGAAAAAGAGAGAGAGGAGAAAGAGAGAGACTCTTGCCCTATTAAGCACATCCTCTTCAGTGCCTGCTTTTGGGGGGTTCCTTGGGAAAGACTAAGGTTTGCCAATCTGATCAAGCTGGTTTTAAACTCCAGATGGGGGTGGTGGAGAAGAAAGCCAAGTGAAACTTATGGCACTGCATAGTAATGTAGCTAAGCCATCTCTGAGGCGGTTCTGCCAGCCTGGAGTTGTTAGGCTCCCCGATCCTCAATTGATAGGGCAGCCTGAGGAATGTGTGAATAAGATGCCCTGTAACAAGTGGAGCTCCATCTCTGCATCCAGATGGGCCCCCTCCTCCTTCCTAAAGTAGATGCTTCCATGATGTCACTCAGTATCGTTGGGACTCTCCACATTCCCTTCTGCCTGGGATATAAGCCTGGGATGCTGGTGCAGGGCTCAGGCACCTGACACTCCTGGATACCGGAACACCAATCCTTTTCCTCCTCCAAACCCAGGCTACTTTTATACCTCAACACCCAAAAGCCTCACTGTATCGTATTATTGGAAGATGGAGCTTCACGTCCACCTTTCCATCCTAGATGTCTCTCAGGGCCCTGTATTCTCCTTGTGGGGTGCAGGGCATCATTTTCAGGCTTTGAATAATACTCATGCTATCATCCAAAGGACAATGTTTCTAAAAATCTCATGCTAAAACAGATGAGGAAAACAAGAGCAAAATTCCAGCTCCCCCTCATTTTGAATCATCCCTCAAGTCAAATCCCTAGCTATCATCCCACTAGAGAGATGAGAATATCAAGGTCCAAATGCTCAATAGCCTCAGGAGATGCAGCTGCCAATGGAGCTAGAAGAAATGTAAGCACCATTAATGAAAGTGCAGTGCTCCAAACAAAGACTGTGATGGTTTGCATTGTCCTGGACACAAAACCCTGAAAGACATGCTTAACACTGTAGCATATTTTGAGAAAACCACTGTTAGAGAATGAAAGATGAGGATAACAGATGATGAGAAAATTTTGGCCTGGAAAAAAAAGATTCATGGAAAGGGGTGGAAGACATTAACTATATTAAAATTCTTATTAATAATAACAGCTACACTTTGAAATTTTGTGATGTTTTAGAGCTTTGGAACATACTAAGTCATGCTAGTGAGACTCATACCATACCACTGGGTAATATGGTACCCATTGTATAGATGATGACACCAAGGCTTGGAGAGGTTCTAAGACTTGCCCAAACTCACACATGCAGTAGCAAAGTTCAGATTCATATTCAAGTCCTTCAAGATTCAAAGGCCATGTTCTTTCTTCTATGCCTTTCTAGTACATGGAAGAGAAAGCACTTTCTCTGAGTGATGCCATAGAACTGAGTTAGCAGTACAGGAAGATTTCAAAGGGATGGAGACTCCTCAACCTGGTGAAGAGCTTTCTCATAGTCAGACTTGTTCAAAGGTGGACAGACCGCAACTGGATCTAATCTACTGTCAGCTCAGTAGAGGTGCTTAGAGACTAATACAAGGGTCGCCAAATGACCCCTAATGATCCTCCCTTCCTTTAACCCCCAAATCCACAAGCTCAAAGACAAAGCCAGTGTGATATGCTGGGTAGATATCTAGTTATTTTGAAACAATGGGTCATCTAGGGTTATTAAAGTTCATAGTTTCTCGTTCATTCATTTATACATTCACTTATTCAACTAATATTTTTCTGAATGCCTCTGATCTATCAAGCTCTGGAAATACAGTAGTGAATAATATATAGTCCCTGTTTTCAAGAAATCTATGGATTGGAAGAGCAGGGAGATGTGCAAACAGGTGTTTTTAATTCTACATGTAACTATAACTAGGAAAATAGAGGATGCTATGGAAACCTAATGCAACTTTGTGGGAAAGGGAAAGAAGACTTAGGAGTTGGCAAGGTGAAGAGGGAAGAGATCTTGCTCTCAAAGGCGAGGCTAAAAGCCCTAAAGCTGCGAAAGCGAGCGCCCCCTGCTGGTGCATGGAGATCCGAAGGCAGAGAGGACAGAGCCTCTTCCCTGGGCCCACTGGAGTGCCGGGTCCGAGAAAGGACGGACGAAGATAGCTGTTCCAAGAAGGTGTCTCTTGCTGCTCCCTGCTCTAGAGTCCTGAAAGAGGCTGTTTTTCTGAAATTTTCACTTGGCAGAGCCATTTTGAATTTTTTAAAGTTCTTTTATTGGTGCATTTTAGGTACACAATACGTTTACATTTGTCATTGGGTGCTTGTACCTGTACATGATGGATCTTGGTTCTTATTTTTTCCCCATTACCTGTGAAGGGCTCACATTTTGAATTTTTTAAAGACACTGCTTTTTGATCCTACGGAGTGTTGTGCTTTGTCATTGGAAGCCAAGCTGGGCACTTGTATCTCTGTGCTTGAGTTCTTTGGCTCTGGTTGCATCAGTTGCAGTCTATTGTCACATGGTAGGGAGTGGGTAGGGTGATGTTACAAGGGGACCCAAGGGATGGTGGAGCCACAGGAAATACACATCTCTATTTCTTTCAGTTCCATTCTTTCAGCCCAGAAACCTCAGCACAAACCTCCTCCATGCAGGGAGCCTCCTACTTCATCCGAACAAAGCCCTGTGAGCGTCCCACCCTCTCACAATTTGGACTCATCCAAATCCCAGTGGATGACCCAGCTCAGATTCAACTTGGGATCCC